GGGAAAGCCCACACTCTCCGCCCCCGGGGCGCGGGGACTCCCGAGAGTAAAATCGCGCGTGGCCCGCGGGGAGCAGCGCGGAGCGCCGGGAGCGGTGGCCGCTCCCTCCCACCTCGGGGGGTCCCCCCCCGACCCGCAGAGCTTCTCAGTGTGCGTGTTTAATGCTTAAAAAAAAAGAAAAAAAACACTGACACAGAACAGGTTAATCGTGGAACGACGCTAGCAGGGCTATGATGCCCCCATGTTGGGACTAACCGCCAGAGAAGCGTGTCCTGGTGCTTGCCCTGTCCTGGGATGTTCTCTGCCATTAGGTACCAGCAGCGACGGGATGGGGCAGGAGGCACACCCAGCTCTGTCCCAGCACCAGGAGCCACCGAGGTGCTGGCTGCCTCACCACGACCCTTGGATCACTTCCTAGAGGCATGTGCTGCGCATCCCAGGAGAGAAACCAGGATGAAGCACCCCACCACATGCTGCTGTGCCACCTGAGGACATAAAGTATCCAGAAGCTGGTTTATCGCCTATCAATCTGCTCCACGGGGTGCTGGAGTGAGTCTGACACTTCATTGTGGGCCAGCAAGGTGCCGGAAAGCTTTAGGTGTTGGGAAAGAGAGATTCTGCTGGTCCCCCTTGGGTTCCCCATGCTCAGTGTCAACGTGATGGGGAAAGGGGCCATGGCTACCAGGCAACAATGCCAGTCTTGATGGGATGGGCCATGCTTTGGGAGGCCTCAAAATACCCTAAAAGTTTGTGGGTTTTGGTGGGAGAAAAAGGCAGTTCTTAGAAAAAAAACCCATAAACTAAAAGAGAACATTAGCCAAAGCGTGTTTATAAGGAAAAGTCTTTTCCCTGTGGTGGGACACACACACACACACACACATGCTTTTGACGCCCTAGCCAGCCCGGCAGAGGGGTTTCCATCTCCTCCCCCGCAGAGCTGAACTGGCAGCAGGGAGAGAGGGGGAGAACGGCTGCGCACGGTGACAGGCAATGCTATGGGCTCTCCTACCACCCATGGTCACCCTGGAAAGCCTCCGTCCACTTGGAGGTGTCTATGAAGATGGAGGAGGAGCTGTGGAAGAGCCAGAGGCAGGGCAGGGAACCCTCCTGTGTCCAGAGGTCCTTGGCACAATCGTAGACCTCCATCTCCACCTGGTAGTCCCCGTCCATGCCCTTCCAGTGGCCACCAGTGACGAAGAGCTGGTTGCCCAGTGGCACCATCCCGCCATTCTCATGGAGTGTGTGCAGGAGCTGCACCTGTGTGAGGGGCAGGGCGAGATGCACTGGGACCACCCTCCATGACCTCCTGCTCACACTGTGGAGGACATCGACCCACCAGGCGCATTCCCCTGCCCCATCCTTTCTGCAAGGTTTGGGGGCCTCTGGGGCCGTGTCTTGCTTTTAGCAGTATTGCTGTGTTGTGCTTGTATGGGAGCAAGGCTGAGGGTGCTGTGGGGAGCGGGAGGCCTCGGGGGCAGAGCGGACAGGCAGGATTTTGCCAGACTGCACAGGCAGGAGACCCACAAACCTCACAGGAGGGTGGTGCTGGAACAGGGGGGGGCCCTTGTGCGCTTCTGCAGTGGGAACACTGCTTAAAATCTGCTAGTATCTCGGTGCAAATGGTGTGCTCCTACTGTGGGTGTGATGGGGTAGCAGGGAAGGAAGAATTGGGGCATCTTCAGCTCTGCAGGGGTTAATACAGCCAAGGGATGAGTGGGCAGGAAGGAGAGGGGGTGCTGGCACCTAGGGGGAGCAGGTTAGGGGTGTACGGTTGTGGGGTACTAACGGGGCGGGAACAGCTGCCCCACCTCTCTGGGAGGGTGATTGCACCCAGCCCCGCAACCCGCTACCTTCTGCCAGATGTTGGCCTCCGGGTTGTACACGTGAACCTTCTTGGTGTTGTCCCCAATGAGGTAGATGAGCCCGTGCAGGGTAGCGCAGCGTGGGGCTGAGAGGTACTTGGGGATGAAGGGGGACGTGATCACACTCCACAAATCTGCAAGGAGAAGCCGTCAGCAGCACATCCCACCCTTGGCTCTTGATGCAGCTGCTGATGACCAAAAAAAGCATTGCCAAGCCCATGGCTATTTGAGCAGGAGTTTGAAAGGAAGGAGACAGAGCAGCCAGGCAGGGTGGCACCCCATCCCCATCCCAGATGAGGCTCTTGCATAAAAAAAAAGGGGGGGGGATATTGTTTGCTGTGGTGGTGTGGGATGGGGGGACCACCATGGGCTGTGCAGAGGCTGCCTGAGGAGGTGGCGTTGTCACAGGGGTTTAGTTTCTCCCTAAGGCAGGCAGCCTCCCCCACCCCTCTGTCCCGGGGATCCTGCGCCACTGAAGTGCCAGTCCAGGCTGTGCTGGAGGTCTGCGACGCGGGTCCATGCTGCCAGCAGTCACGCTGCTGGCTGGCCCGTGGCCCCATGCCACAGCTGTTGCCAGACCCCCTTCGCACCTGGTCGCATCTCGCAGGACTGTGCCTGGCGGCAGAGGATGTCACCTGCCTGGGGGTCCCCCTCACTCCCGCTCCCTGGGAAGGCATTGGTGGGGCACAGCAGCGGGGCTAGCTCTCACCTTGAACAGGGTTGTAGCACTGCAGGGTGAGGGCATTGTACTTGATGGCACAGGAGCCCACCAGGTAGAGCTTGCCCAAGCAGCTGGCAGTGGCAAAATTGCTCACGTACTTGAGGGCTGGGCTGATGGCACACCAGCTCTTGTTGTAGGGGTCATAGCGCTCCACCTCCACGGCGTCCATGGTTGTCCCTGCAGGGTGGCACAAAGCTGCAGCCACCCTACTGCTCCAGGGCACCCACAGATCCCAGCCCCAGCAGTGCCCACAGGATCTTTGCAGCCTTACCTCCAATGACGTAGATCTCTCCATTGAGGACAGCGCTGGTGTGATTTGTCCGAGCTTTCAGCATGGAAGCGATGGGCTTCCAGGTGCCATCCTTGGGGCAGAAGCGCCAGGCCTGGGTTGTTGACCATGTGTCGTCCTGGGAGCCGCCTGGGGAGGGACACTTCAGGTGGGCCACCCCCTCTGAGCACAGACATCCCTGGGCACCCCTTGCCAGCAGCTGGATCCACCCAGTAGACGAGCAAGGAGAGGGCTTTGCTCAGAGAGGAGAGTAGCCCCCAGCCTCATGCCAGTGCCCTCTGCCCACATCTTTGTCTCCCATCCTCTGTCCCTGTTCCTTGGGGACCCCCACTCCACCCCAGAAGCTCCAGCACCTACCTGTGACGTACACATCATTGTTCAGAGCCACCAGGGAAAAGCCCCATTTGTTGTAATCAGGGAAGTTGGGCAGAGCCATCCATCGCCCTGAAACCCAGTGGAGGCAAGTGATGACCCCTTCAGCCAGCAATGATGCTTTTAAGCCAGGCCTATCTCACTTCCC